AATAGCAAAAAACACGTCTGTTCTAATTACTATAAACTTCTTTAGTTAAATTCCTGTACAAAACAGAACTAAGTACATACTGAATTTAAAATTGTAATTTAGTAACCTAAGCCATCTAATTGAAATAAAGGATTATTATTTTTATTCTATTACAAAATTTTTAGACTCGGTAGCTTCTTTGATAATATAGGACATGTCAATTTTCATCCCTTTTTTAAGAATATTATACCTAGATAAAATATTAAACTATTCATTTTACATTTGTAAAAAAATATGTTTGAAAACTTCGCATTGAGCCCTTTCATTCTATAAAACGTAAAACTGTTAATATAAATAGCTAGGTAGGTATATTTAAAGCGTAAACAAAGGGTATAATGAGACCTGTGGGCGGCCGACTTTTTCACGAGGTAAAACTTCGCGAGATACTTTTTAAAGCATATTTTTTAAACATCAGCTCCTTCAAAATTGGTGTCCAATTTCACTGTACCAGTCAATTCACGTGTAACAATAACACATTTAATATGAGTAGCGAATCAACATATCAGCGCGTGCGCAGAACAAAGGCAGGTATCAGATGTCTGTTTGTATATGAACGACGCATGTGAAAGTCTTTCTTTAGAGCAGGTAGAAAACATTCACTAAAATGTTTAGAGGTAGGGCTAAGCGGATTTTCAGCTTAAATTGGTGTTGTGTTTCTGTCGGTGAGTAAGGTTCCAGGGCTCCATCATTAAATAAAGGTACCGAAACTCACACAGCAACCATATTGAAGAACTGAATATAAAAAAATGCTGAATTCACTGAAAATATTATCCACAATAGACGCGTGTGCGGAATTTTGCTACCAACACTCGGTAATTTATGAAAAACTAATGAAAGCTTTCCTCGACTGAGAATCGAACTCGGGCCGCTCACGCAGGCGAGCTTTCTACCACTTAATCACCGTTGTTTGTTGATAAGGGTTAAATTTTTTTTCACAACAAATATAAATACATGTTAAAGATGAACAAAAAAATTTGTGGTGGTGTAAAAAAAGTTTTATTTGAATGAGTTAAGGGCAATACTAGTGAAAAGCTTCATCTATCCACAATCCAAAGGAGAAAGCCAGATTTTTATAAAAAGTTAGGCCATGATTGCACTTTACTGAAGTTTGTACCAAACAATAGGGAAATAGCTATAAATTAAGTAGGAAAAATACTGTCCCATTATGCTTTACAAGTTTAGAGAAATCATATCATAAAGTAGTAAATTGGGGTTTTAATTAACCACAATATTTGACAGATGATTTATAGCTGTCGTTTTATGTCGTAATCACATGTGGTCACATTTGGTTTTATTTCACTATAATTATGATTACTCTTGGATTTATACTGCTAAAACATTTACAGAAAATATGTTGTACTAATTATACTATCTTATCTACTGCCGAGAGAATTTGCCATTCAATAGAACATATATTTTTCACTCATAAAGCAAGTCATTTTAGAAAGAATATGAAGAAGTAAAGCATTTTTGACATATTGCCAATATGCCAGATTTCATATCGATTGCAAAATCATTAATTGGTTAATTTTGTTCAAGATGAGCACAAATATATAAATTATATGTAGTGATTGAAAAGCTGTATATTTCTTAATACCTTCAAAAGTTTGTAATATTCTAGAAGATTACTTTTTAATACATAATGTAATGTCTGATAAAAATATACCAATAGAATAAAAGTTAATGCAGGATAACTTTATAAATTGTTAACATGATCACTATATTTTATAGGATTGGAGTTTGTGTCACCATGCTTAAAATATTAGCAGTATGCTTACAGTGCTTACTTTGGGGCTAGGCTATTGGTGTGAGTGTTGGAAATATATATATTTATTATTATTTTCAACCAAATACTTTACCTTTTGATGTGGTTGTTAGTAAAAACAGTATCTTTATGCCATGCCATGTTGACTTGGACCTCATCACAGACTATAGAAGATGTGTAATAAATAACTGGGTGCTTATCTAAATATATCAAAGAAGAATCTGAGTGACTTACAAATGCACAGCCCAAACCACTGAATTGTTTCCCTTTAAAAGTTTGTTAAAAAAATCCAGAACTCAATTTGGGTGAAACCACAGTGATTCGCCAATCACAATCACAACCTTTAGTTGTGACATATGATATTAGGAACTTTTTTGTAGATAATTATGTATTAACTTTAGTACATCACTTTGCTCTATTGTCAATAACTTCCGCAGTGTAAGCGATATAAGGTTATTTTTGGTATTTTTTTCACACCCTGAGTTACATTATCGAAGTTTTCATATGGAAAGGTTATTTTTTGGTATTGTTTTCACACCCTGGGTTAAATTATCGAAGTTTTTATATGGAACCCTAACTTTTTTAAATACTCTACAGCCTATGTTTATCAGGGATAATGTAGGATTCTAAATGAGAAAGAATTTCTCAAATTGGTCCAGTAGTTTCGGAGCCTATTCAGAACAAACCAACAATCAAATCTTTCCTCTTTAAAATATGTACCAATATAGAAGTATAGATATAGATCAAGTAACTGGAAGATCAAGAGTTGAAATGGTTGTTAGCAATATATTTATTTAATTCATGAGTGGAGTTTAATCATTTAGCTACCTATTTGTGTTTCATCAATCTCTTACAATATAGGTAGTTAATGAAATAATCAATAATTGTGGTAATTTAGTAAAACTTTCACAAAGTTTATTTTTCACTTTAGACTGAGACATAAAAATAAAATTTTAATAATATAAAGTTATAATTATAACTGACATCTGTGTATGGTTAAGAATTTTGCAGATAACCAACATACTCTGTCCAGACCCAACAAGAATACTTTCATTAGCTCATATGTTATAGTCAATTTGGGAGGAACTCTGTAGGCGTTACAATAACAAAAAGTAATGTGGGCTGAACAATATGTTGCATAAGGGTTATCTGTTTGAAAATTTACAGATGGGGCAGCAATCAGCCTACATTAAAATCAAATATGCTTTATGAGATGACTACCTATCTAAAACAATAGTTACCTAGAATGGTAAATTTAATTAATATTAAATTTAATTGATTCACATAGTGTTACAATTACAGTTGATTATTTTTTTCATTTCTATGCTAACAAAATTACGAAAATAAAGACCACATTACTATGGAAGTCTGTACATCAGTTTTTAGGGTGTCACCTACTCTGAGATTATTTGATATTATTCTACATATTTTGAGAACATTAAAAGTTCTCTACTTATTTGATTTGTTGACAAAGAAATAAGAATTTAATTAATTGTATCCATTTTGCCTATTACTGATGAATTATTTGGGTGATTAGGCCAAGGGGTGAGCAACGAATGGCCATGGATAGTGTATGAAAGAGGATAATGCATAAGAAGACATTAACTTTAGATAGATAAATTTTGTTGCTTTTGCTTTCCCTACATATAACTCTTTCTAACTCTGAAATGAAAGGATTGACAGAAAGTAAAAAAAATACATGATTAGGCCATAGTATAGATAAAAGATGAGGATATCAAAGTTGTAAATTCTATAGGCAACTAAATAAATCTAACTTGTATGAATCAAAGGAGTTATTGTAAATTAGAAGTAAATTCTAATTTGATTTAAGATATTTTAGTACTAGTGGAGCACTAGAACCTACTCACCAGCAGAAACAGAGCATACCAAAAGGTAGAGTCATTTCATTGCACTGTTACCTTCTGTAAGGTGGAGGTTACTTGGGTTGCCAACCTTACTATATAATATAAAAAAATATATAGTAGATGAAACTACTATATTTTGCTTAAAACAGACTTTTGCCACTAAAAGCTTTCTTAAAATAAAAACTGAAGTATTAAGGTATACAGCAGCAAAAATATACTCATTTCAGAAATAAAGTAAATATTTTTACCACATACTGTATTTTTTCCATTTTTTTGTCATCATGTGTGTGTGTTGTCATATACCTATATTTTTAAAGGTAACAGCTTCGAAAATACTATATTCGATAGTTGGTAACACTATTTATGCCATACTTCACTGATCATTGATAAGCTTTTACTATTTACTCAGGAAAGTAAGGAGCAGGAGGATTTGAATGCCCCAGAATCTGAAATAGGTTCTGAAACATATCAGTCTACATAGATAAATAAGTTAATCTAATAATGTTTTTATGTGCAGCTACACACTAAACTACTTCATATTTAAGGACTACATGAACTCATACTATACTAAATGTTCAATAGCTTAGTTGCCAACTAAAGATTAATATGAGAATCATTGCAGTTTGACAGAAATAGGCAAAGAGGACCATGGTTTTTAAAATAGGGTGATTATGATTTCAGTTGCCTAACTAACTGACAATAGGTATCCCCAAGATTTCATCGAGTGTGGTTGGCGTCTTATTTTAATTATTCTTAAATTCGTTCATAGTGGATATTGTGAAAAGAAATTGGTGTGATTTTGTGTAACAACCATCCGCGCAATTGAAGAATTAGTAGAATCTTTAAAATATACTCTACTCCGGTCAAGTGGACGTGAGAACTTTATTGTAGTGTTGACTACCTCATAGAAGATTATCGAAAAAACCAACTCAATACATTTCATGCCAAACACTCCAAGAAAAAATAGAATACGTCACACCGACATTCTAATGTAAAAAAAAAGAAGATTAAGATTTGTATTTATGTATACGACTGAAAGACTTGTATCCATGTCATGAATAAATTATAAATAAAAAACATACCATGAATAGATACTTGAATGCCTAAATGAGGGATATAATTTTGCTAAATATTTATGAAATTGCAAGATCAAAGTCTTTCTAAATTACTAATTTATATATTTTCTTGATTAATGAATAAATTGTGTTGTTAGATAAGCACCAAAATTAATTCTTATACTTAGTAGTATGTTATGTAGGTAATTTTTTGTTTATTCTTGCAATTTCATTTACCGCGGTAAATTAAACCTTGTTCACTTAAATAAGACTCACCATTGGAACTTTTCAGGTCTCTATGTATAAGTGACATAGGGGCACCCACATGAAGGTATGCCATGCCTTGAGCCACTTGTATTGCCCAGTCTACTAGTATACCGGGCCTTATTTTTCGTCCTGATAACACTCGGTTCAAAGGGCCACCGCGAGCATATTCCATCACCAAACACAAATTTGGCTCCTCTAAGCACACACCTTTCAACGACACTATATTTTCATGTTGTAACACCCAAAACAATCTCGCTTCTTGAAGAACACTCTCTTTAATGACTTCAATGTCCTCGTTCGCGTCCTGCCTAGCCGCTTTGACCGCCACGACTTCATCGTTCCAATAACCTCGATACACTTTACCAAACCCTCCAACTCCGATCACTTCCTCAAGCTTTAGCTCACTGAAAGACACTCGCGGCGGTTCAACGGCAAGAGGATCTTCCTCCGTCACGTATACGGCGGGGAAGATCCCAACATGATCGCCGATTTTTCCGGTCCACCAGCCCTCGTCGCCGGAGATGTTCGCGTCTTTTGAGAGCACTTCGACGATTTCTCCGCGGCGCAAGGAGAGTTCGTCTTCTCCCTGCGCAGCATAATCGTAGACGGCAGTAAACAGGGCAAACGGCGGTCGCTCGTCTTCGGCCGCCATGGCCGCGCGGCCGGCCGCAGGCCGCGGGGGCATCACCCCGGCCGCGCCCCCATCGCACCTCTCCTCCTCGCTCAAGCGCCCCGACACTGCTGTAGCCTCCACCCACCACCGTACATAACGCTCCACAACAACGCTTATGGTTATGATCACCGTATTATTCCGCCATCTTTGTTTCCCTCATCGATCATGGCAATGTTGTGTTTAAGTTTACACTGTACTACGTTACGACACTTTGACCGAACACTCGCGACTATAAGTTTCGATAAAATTATGTTTGATCTTCGCTGCGACAATGTGAATTATTTCTCATTCATCTATCACGCTAATCGATAGAGGGACGAAATGACAACCATACCACAGCGAAGTCAGTGACAAACTGTCAGTCTGTCTGTCAGTACACGTTGCCATCGTTGAAAAACATTCAATTAGACATTTCATGACATGGGTTTTAGTTAAAATAAATGTAATACTTAATATATGTTATCAAGACTTTTAGATATTAACAGGTTCTAAAATGTATAATTTATTTATCAATATAATATATTAGGACAATTTAGTTATATAGCAACACAGATTGGTAGGTAATGTTTAAGAAATGGTATAGATGGCACTAGTCTAGTTTATGTAATACTGCCATCTCTTAAGTTTATGTCTTACTAATTGTTTGAAGCTAAGAAAGCTGTTCTTATTAGACATGGGCGTTTTTGGTTTTGAACACAAACGGATATTTATCGGATTTCAGATTTCAAAATCGATTTTAAAATCCGTTTTTAGATATCCGATTTCAGATGTGCTGAACTTAGCCAATTCACTAGTTTGTGTTATGATTTGGTTTTATTAGCTAACGACAATCACAAACAACTAATTGTAGGAAGCAAGGATACTCGTAGATGTTCGCGATTTTCCTTCATGCTTTAAATCTAGGCTTAGGACTAGCAGAAAAGTTATGTTTACGGTTAAGAGTAAAACTTTTGCGGCGCATTTAAAAATCGGCTTTTATACAATGATTTCTTTATACATTTTTTTTAGTATTTTTATTTGTTATTCTGTTTGTTTTTATTATTTTTCAAACCATTTACAAAATCAAACCTAATTACTTCAGGTTAGCGTCCAAAAATGTATGTTGCTCGACTTTTGATGTTTTTAGACGACATATCTTTTCAGTGATAAATAATCCCGCCTCAGAGAACAGCAATAGATTTCCGTAAACAGCAAATCGAAATCGGAGTTCCGAGCACGAAATCTGACTTCCGAAAACGAAAGCACGAATTTCGAATCCGATTTACATTTGGATACTTGTGGTATTTGGTTTTGGTTCGATTAGATTTCTGAAATCGGATTTTCTTGTTGAGAAATCGTTCGGTATCGATTTGTGTTTGAAATCGGATTTTGGATTCGTTTTGATATATCGGACGCATGCCTAGTTCTTATTTGTTTTCAAAATGATATTGAAAAAAATAAGTAAAATAATGAAATGAAAATTATTTCTTCCAAATCATGTAAATTTAAAGACAAAAAAATTGTTTTTGGTGCATACGTAGAAATAGTTGTGTTATTTCGATCCAACTCGTAAGCGGTCCCATGGTGTAATGGTTAGCACTCTGGACTTTGAATCCAGCGATCCGAGTTCAAATCTCGGTGGGACCTGCGAAAATGCACTTTTTGGATATAATTTATTTTGGTTTTTATTTTTGAGTAATGATTTTTTTGTACTCTTTAATTGGAAATATGTTTTATCAAAGCTTAGAAAATAGAAACTGAAAAGATATCAACTAAGTGAAGGATAGTCTGTGGGAGTTTGAAGGGATGCTGGGTAGGGAGCATTATTGATCGCGCGAAAAGGGGATAGTCGTATCCATTCGCGGCGAACACCCAGCCCGCGGACGAGGGGCCGCTTTACAATCTTCAAAACACGCTTTAACGCCTTAAACACTGTTTTAATAAACCAAAAAATACGTCCACGCTGCCCTCAAAACGAACAATAATAAAAAACAACAGAACTCCCAGCGCACCACCGTATAACAGTGCAAAATCGCCCGCGAATATTAAATGCAGTTAAAATGTGACATGACATAGTGAGATCGCTTTTAAAATCTCCCTAATACTTCCATTATACGCTTAAAACGGTAAATTGTAAATAAAACCATAACTAATTGTGATAACAATCGATTTACACCCATGTTTTTTGGTTTATTCAATCGCTTATCTTAAGTGTTGGAAGTGAAGTGACGATGGCCGATTTATTATCTCCGGGCTAATTTCAAGATTATGTGTCTATTGATGTACAAAATGTGCCGATTTAGCAGTATCTTGAGGAATAAATTTTGCCTCAAATGGTGCTGGCGAAAGCGTTGGCCGGGACTGGAGAAAAATGGAGTCTCTTCAAGTGAATTACGTTCAATAAGTATTTTTTCTTAGCTGGTTCTATGTTCAGATACTCAATAGTATTCAAGTTAGGATAATAATTATCAAAAATGAATACTTTCAATGCACCCACGACTCAAATAAATGCTATTGATAAAATGACAACTGTCAAATGTAAATCGGTTGATTTAGAAGGATATGTAATTATAGTGGTGCAAACGAAGGATAACAAAGTGAAATTGTATGGTGAGTACCTTTTTTCTTACATTATGTACAAAATCCTATAGGTATAAATTTCGTCAGACGTTCAGGCACTCTGATTTAAACTCTTCGATTACTAGGTACTTGGTCTACTTATGTAGTAGTACGATATAGAAGTACCTAGGTACCTACATATATATAGAATCAAACTATAATGTTCCCAGAACAAATATTGTACCTACTGACTTTATTCCTTACGAATGAATAGGTTTGCACACGGTTCTTCCTAAATTCATAAATTATTAGTGTTATTATTATTATTAATAACTCAAAAGGTACTATAGAACAAATTGATTCATAACCCAGTTGACCGAGAATCCGTATAAAAAGTCAAAAGTTTTCTTATAACGAGAACGCTTTATTTGCATTGCACTAGGACCTTCTAATAACAAGATAACTGTACTATTAAGGATCAAAATAGATCATTATAGAGATAAAATTGCAATAGTAATTTGAATTTTGAAATCACTTTTAAAATACCTAGTAAATGTAACAAATACTCTTTTGGTTTCTAAATATATAAGAAAAAACTGGCCAAGCGCGAGTCTGGCCTCGCTCTATTCGGGTTATAGGTAAGTATCAGTTGTTCATTTTCGTCACAAACCAACTTACAAAGTACATTATGAAACGATGTTTTCAACATTTGTTGTTGAAAATTAATATACTTACTACATACTTAAATTTCACATTTTTAACAAGTTTCGATTTTGAGATAGACCCCGTAACAAAAATGGCCTAAAATAGACATCTTTGACGTGCTCCCTTTTTTGTTTGTTATTCAAAATAAAAAAATAAAATAAAAAAAAAGTATTTATATCTTACTCAACAAGCTCTAGAAAATGATGTGTTACATCAGTATGTAACACATTATTTTCTAGAGCTTGTTGAGTTTAAATAAGTCACGTGTTGTCTTATTCTATTGTTGTTTCAAAGAAGCGAGCATACAATTTTAATGTGGCTTATGTCGGCTACTATACACGATCACTTCTAGCTTGTTAGTTTTGACTAATCAGTTATGTCTGACAGTGAAAACTGAAGCCCTTTGAGCACACACACGTGCCATTTTAGCTGTTTACTTTGACCACAAACAACATTTTCATCTCAACGACACGCTTTACCGTGCTTGGTTTATTGTTAGTTTTGAAAAATAGAAATAAACGCAAAGAATGGTTTAAATAGTGGTTAAAAATCGCAAGTTTATTCCCATGTTAATTTATTACCCATACTAAAAATTGGGCCATGTTCCACCACGCGGGCCCAGTGCGGATTGGTAGTTACTAATGACTGCAGATGCAGCCGGGACCAACGGCTTAACGTGCCTTCCGAAGCACGGATCTCCCTATTCCATCCATAGGGAAGGCCTGTGCCCCAGCAGTGGGGACATTAATAGGCTGGTGATGACGATGATGACTAAAAATCGCTCCAAAGGATTGATCGGCACAATTTACTAAGAGTGAGTGAAAAAATAAGACAAACTTGAACGATATATGATTAATTATAACTGATATAAGAAAACAAAAGTTTACATCGTACACTAACTCAGATTTCACTGTTAGTCAAAGCCACCAAGTCCCGCATAACGGCAGTTATTCTGACGTTTAGCCATATTGAGTTCAGGCGATGTAGATTCATTACTTATATGCGTCTCAGCTTTTTATCTTGTGGAGCCCTGACAACATGTTGTAGAAGGACAACTACCTTACTCTTAATATATTTCTAACGGCCAGGGGATGATTGTTTTGTTAACTTTATCTGTTTCGCAAAGCTAAAGAAAAGTAAAACCCTATAACTATAAAATTAAAGGGTTTTGTGGAAAGCGAAAAAGTTACACAATAACATTTCAATAAACCTATTCTCTAGTAAATAAGCGAGTTTCGTTTAGTTGCAGTAATGTAAATTAAGTACCTACTTCTCCTCATTACTTAAAAGAATGCTTCTCGTTTCTTTCTTCTACTTCACAGCGCACTTCGCGAACTTCTTCGAACTTATCTCCAGAAATTCCGAATCATTCAACTGATTTCTTTTCCTATTCCTTCTCTGTGCATTCTGTACGTCTATGGAACTCATTGGCAGAAACTATTCAAAAAACTCGCACTCTGAACTCGTTTAGGGATCAAGTTCGGAGTTATTTCCTATGATGTTAAATTTTTCCTTTATCCTCTCTTTTCTTCCTTAGATATATCTGTTTTCCTGCCATTGACATTATTATTATTTTCTATTACACCCTTCCTTTTCTCCTTTATATTTATTTATCTTTCTATTATGGGTTGCCTGGAAGAGATTGCTACCTAGCAATAAGGCCGCCTATATTGTGTACGTTCTGTCTATCATGTTTTAAATTTACTTGTGTGTCTTGTATGGTGTATTACAATAAAGATTATTACTATTATAAATTTCTTAATATTTAGTTCAAAATAACTACGATTGGTAAGGAACAGCATGAGGGGGCTGCTGGTCGTCTAGTTTTGACGGCCGCACTCACAGAAATTAGTACACTTAAGATAAATCGTGTCACTTTTAATACTATAAAGGACAACAAGAAGAAGACAACGCGTGACTTAATAAAGCATTATATAAATTATTAATAAATTTATTTACTAATTAAATACACACGCAATAAAACAGATAAGAAGAACAGAAACAAGTTGTACAAGGGAACTGCTTACTTTAACGTTTCTAAGTAATTGAGTATGGCTGTAAGTGACGTAACTCTTTCTCCATCCCCCTTTAAAGGAGTGTGTAAAAAGTTAAAAATCTCGCTGACACCGCCTTATTTCAGCCCATGCCCCATTCTTGGAGGGATGTGACTCTGATTTTCAGTCAGTGTAGGTCAATTTAATCAAATGATGTTTTCAGGGTCAC